CCCCCCCCCCAAGTGCTGCAGCAGGCGCTGGGCCTCTGCCCTGGGGGAGGGGGGGGGGGGGAGTCCCCTGGGGTTCCTTCCATGTCCTGCCTCTGCAGGTGTGCAAGTGCAAGAGATGGCAGAGCAGCAATGCCCCCCTCATCCCCCCCCACCAGCTTCTGATAAGATGGTAAGAGGCTGGGGACAGTGTTTTTAAACTCGTGGAAGATGAAAAGTGCTAGAATCGCTCAGTGGAACCAGTGGTTCAGCCATGTGCCTGGTATCCCAGCTGTGACCTTGGCAGTTGCAGGTGCTGGAGGGGAGGGTCACTGAAGCGGGGCCACCTAGAGTGGGGAGTCGGGGCAAGTGCTTTGGGAGCCTTTTGAGGGTGCTGCGGGGTGCCTGGCAGTGTCAGTGCTCTTAGGTGTGCCAACACAGATAGACCCAAATAGGAATCTGTAGCGTTAAAAATGTTCTGAGCTATTGTGGGTTTTCAGAGTTTACAACAGAAGCATTGCTGTGGCTTCTTTCTGCCATCAAAAAACAGTGGAAAGCCAAGAGCTGATGTTTTCCAAGGGTCTGAAAACATTAAGAAGCACTGATCTGCAGAAATCTATCACTTAGCCATTATCTTCCCCAGCTTTCACCATTATTGGTCTAGGGTTGCCAGAGGAGACCTCTCCAACTGTACTGTTCAAAAGCTGTTGATAGATGCCATCCCGGTAAGGGGAGGGAGAACCAGTTGGACCGGAACGGGAACTCCTGTTTGGGAGTTGGCTGCTGTGGAAAATGTTTGTCTCCTGGAGCTGGCAGATTCAGGCATTGAGGACCAGGTCTTTCAAGAGGGAGGGGACGCATGATTCAGTCCTTGTTCCTCTAGTCTACCTGGGCCAGTTCATTACCTATAGGTCTGGTGAAACTGTTTGGACTTTGTTGAAGGTGATGGATTATCACTTCCAGACCGGCCTTCTGTCCAACTGGAATTTTCCCTTCACCTTTTAAGACCAAGATTTTTAGGTTTCAGGCTGATTTATGCTAAATTGCTTCCTGGTTATAAAGATACCTGAACTTCTCTGATCTTGTGCTGCTGCTACTTTTGTCTTAAATGAAGCGTGTTAGATAAGACCTGAGGAGCAACCTTTTGGAAGAGAAAAGGGTATTGTCACATGTTCAGCTATCACTTATTAAGCGCAATTGAAATTCAGGATGAAACTGCACGTTACACTTGGACCATACTAAGGGTACTTAAAAAGTAAGCATCTGAAAGCTAAAACTTGTTAATTTGTGCTAAGCGCTTTCTGAGCATCTCAAAGTTATGTTGTGTCAGGTGACAGTTAACTCTGAGCTGTGCTGCATAGCTCATGTCCAGGAAACTTCAGTCTGCTCCATGGAGATAAAATGAGCAATTTTAAGACCTCCAGCATCCCTAGATGCACCACTCCAAGCTCCCCCTCTCATCCAGAGCAGGGATAGAGTCCAAGTGTCCTGGTTCATAGCTATGCCTCTGCTCTCCAGCCTTCCAGCCTGGAGTCAGCTGTGCAGACAAACCCATGGCATTATCCATTAATGCACAATTGGTTACAGCAGGGGTTCTCAAACTGTGGGTTGCGACCCCGGGGGGGCTGCAAGCAACTTAAAAGTTGGGCCATAAACTTCTCAGGGAGTATGTGCAGCAGCTTGGGAAAGTGGCATGCAGTGGTAATGCAGAGTGGTGGATGGTGGCGGCGGCTGCTATGTGCGAGCTCTCCATCCCCTGCTGCTGCCATCCAGCACTTGGTCGCGGTATCACAAAGTCTGAGAACCCCTGGGTTCCAGGGTGTTCTAAATATAACATAATTTAACATTCCACATATTTAATATGATCTAAGTGTAACATAAAACTTCATAATCCAAATATTTTATACAATTAATATTAAGATATTTGGACTGTTAGAAATACTGTCTTTTAGTATGCTATAAAATGGTGAAATAAATAGTCTTTTTCACTAGATTATTAACTTTTTGTTCATATTCATATCCAGCTTCAGTAAGATGGCACACAAACCAGCACTCGAAGTGTATTAGACAAAACTTTAATGTTTTGGGTACAGAAACCTTTTTAAAATCAAAACATGATGTCTATTTTCAACTAACTAACTTATTAAACAGTAGTATTAACCTTGCATCTCTTTGTTGCACTGTTTACGTTTGTCACATTTCCTTTTCCCAGTGGTACCAGAATTTCTTGAAAATATTCCCAAATAGGGTCTTTTTTGCAACCTGCAGCCATGGTAGATTTTTCCTCCAGCTTCTAGGTGTTGAAATCAAAACTAGTTTACACTTTATAGATTGTTATTCTTTTTCCTACACTTGTTTGAGCCCAGCCTTGGTCCTTTTCTTTCACACACGGCTCCTTACTCAGCTTCTTCTCTCCCCACTGAACAGAAATTAACAACAAACCAAGCCTCCTTCTCCCTGTGACACAACCCATCATACACTTTCCCATTTACCCTTCCCTGCCCCCCCAAAAAACCCAAACCCTCCTCCTTCTTTCTACTATTGTAACCCTCTGCTCTAGTATTTTAATATACAGATATGGATAGGCACTTGAGAAGATAAACTTAACATAGTACATATGCAAAGGATCAAGAAAGAACATTTCACTGAAGAACCCAGAACCATTTAGAAACAGGGGGTTGGTAGTTACTGAGCGGATGGTTGGTTTTCCATGAGCTGGAGAATAAGCCTCCATTATGGGTCCAGAATCAGAAATATTCATAATTTGAGTGCTGAGCTAATTGGAGCTCAGGTAGAACAAAGCAGAGTTTGATGCCATTCAGGTGGGCTCAGTGGATCATCCTGATCAAGTACTACACATGATGGGGTCTGGTGGAGTCAGAGGCCAGTTTCCAACAGCTGAGATGACTTTGCTGATCCTTTGCATCCAGCAGTGTAGAACCTGAATCCCTTGTAGAGTAAAGCCCCATATATATGAAATATTATGCCATATGTTTAAAGCTTGATGTCAAAAGTTAGATGTTTTCCACCTTTTTTTAATCCAGTAGAAAATCAGTCTTGAACTCCAGTTTTTAGTAGAGGCTCATTGACTCAACATATTCTTTTATTGAAATTATTTTTTAATTGTCATAGAATCATAGAGAAGTAGGGCTGGAAGGAACCCCCTCAGCCCCCTGCCTGAGGCAGGATCTTCCCTATCCAAACCATCATATACAATCCATAATTTGACCTCTGAGTAAGACTACTGCCAACCGTGACACATACAAGACACAGGTAAACCAGGGGAACCATAGCAGTCAATGTCCTGCTTCTATAAAACTATACACTCAAGAGATCCCAGGTAGAGGGCCATACTTCTATTACAGAGGAAGGCAAAACCCCCAATCTGACCATGGGCTAAAATTTCTTCCTGGCCCCAAATCAGTCTGATCCTGAGTGGAGGGGCAAGACCATCTAGCCAGAAACCTAAATTTATATTAAATTTATAACTTGTCCTATGCTGTATTAAATTCAGAATTCATTTTAAGATGGTGTATTCTTAAAAAGGAAAACTTCATTATAATGTGAATAAAAATATAAAAATCCAATTTAAATTTAAAAAATCTGTTTGTTTGTTTTTTAATAATTGATTTTTTTTTTTTTTTTAATCCATCTTAGGTAGTGGCTCCTGGTTGGAGAGGCTCACTGCTCACTTCCAGTTTCCCAGAAATTAACTGTGCTGGACCTGGGGGGCAGAACACGCATCACTTTTCCTTTGCTGTTGACCTCATAACTTCCCTTTTTAGGGAGCAGCTTGTGGAAGGCTCACGGAGCCTTTCTATAGGCAGCAGCATGGATCATTCCTTTGGGGCCTTAGGAGGATGGATTGTAATTTGTAACTATTTTGTTTTGTCATAGGGGCTTTGATTGCTTGCAGAGAAGTGGCAGTAATTGGGCCAAGGGAAGGACAAGTTGGGGCTAGCCAAGGAATGTTTCATTTTCTGCATAATTGTTGTAATTTAAAAAGCAAAGAAGTAGTGGTTTAAAATGGTAGGGATAGCACTGAGATTCTTTTTTAAAAGGAGGAAATAGGAAGCATTTCTAAAAGAAAACAAAAATAGATTGGAGGTTTTATGGAAACAGGCGGGGCTGCAAGCATTCAAGAACTGGAGATAGGTAGAAGTTAAGATCAAACCACACAGTAGCAAGCTAATGTAACCACATTATTTTACCTTGTTCCTCTCATCCTTTCTGTATTCATGTTTTTTGTTACAAGCACTTACGCAGCTAGCCATAAGTCTTGCAGTAGAATTAACTTGGATGAACAAGGCAGAGCTCTACTGAAGTCAGCAGTGCTTCAGGCAGATGGAAGGGTCCACTGACTGTTAACCTAGATTGTAATTTTTTAGGATGAGGGCTGAATT